CCTTCATGGATCTCTCTGTGCTAATGGCAAATGATTCAAGCCATGTAAATATCCTCGACTCTCACAGAGATTTCCGTCTTTCCTTCTGGACCAGAGGTTTAAATAGAAGATGAGTTAGGGAAGGGAGTTAGTTTGGGATCATTAAATCCCCTTCTAGACAACTCCTTGTCTGCTCTGGGAACAAATTAATATCTATGACTTAATAACTCAGATATTAACTTGATTTAATTAAATCCCAATCCTGGGCTCTCATCAAAATATTTTGATGAGTGGGGGGCTGGGGCTACCTGTGACACAAATTTCTATTTAATTAGAAACTTAATTCAATTTATACAGAAATTCCATAAGCAACTGCTCAGCCTTTAACCTCCAATACCTCAGATTATTTTTTAATACATGAAATTATTTCTTAACCCCCTTAATTTCCTTCTGGGTCTCAGCAGGACCTTGCAGGTAGAGTGTTCCCAATAATCCATTTCCCTGGAGGTGCTGTGAAAAAGTGTTTGGAGTCCAGTCAAGCAAATGGGTTGTTGCTAAGGAAATAGGAGAGGGAACAAAATCAGCAGAGCTCTGGATGGTGACTTCCAGTTCTTCCTGCTGAAAACCAGAATCATGGAATGGTTTGGTGTGGAAGGGATATTAAATCTCATCCAGGGACACCTGGATCCAGACAGGCAGGGACATCTCCCACTAGCCCAGGTTGCTGCAAGCTCTATCCACCCTGGCTTAAAAGAAAATAGAGAATTTTGATTTAAAATCCCCTCTCCCAATAAGGGAATTTTAAAGCCCCCTCTCCCAAGGGAAGCTCCTCTATTCCCAACCTGCTGCTCAGCCTCCCCCCATCCTTGGGAACACCACAGGGGCCGGGCAGGAGGGGTGTGCACAGCTCCTGAGCCACTTCTCCTGCCTCTCCCAGGATGTTCGACGTGGGAGGGCAGCGCTCGGAGCGGAAGAAGTGGATCCACTGCTTCGAGGGAGTGACAGCCATCATTTTCTGTGTGGCCCTGAGTGACTACGACCTGGTGTTGGCTGAGGACGAGGAGATGGTGCGTGACACGGGATTTATGGCTGCATGGAAGGGAGCTGGGAGCATCCTAGCTCCGCCCTGCTCCAGGCTGGAATGTTCCTGGCGTACTCTTCCCGTTAAATTGTCTGAGAGCTGCAAGGACAAGCACTCCTTGGATCAGCCGGTGGAATCTTGCCCCACAAAGTGATAAATGCAACCCATCCATGAGGTTTTCCACCTTCCTGGTTGCTGGGAGGTGCCTGGAGTTGTTCTCATGGCTTGTTCCCTGCGTGTGAGTCACTCCAGGAAGGAACAGGAGGAGGTGACCTGATCCCCCAGTGCTCCTCCTGGGGCAATGGCAGTGAGGATGTGGTGGTGACACCCCAATTGTGAGTCTGCCTGTGCAGCAGAGCCTCTCTCCTCCATCCCACCCTTCCCTAACGTCTCTCCCGTTGGATTTCCTTTTCCAGAACCGGATGCATGAGAGTATGAAACTCTTTGACAGCATCTGTAACAACAAATGGTTCACAGACACCTCCATCATCCTCTTCCTGAACAAGAAAGACCTATTTGAGGAGAAGATTAAGAAGAGCCCGCTAACGATCTGCTACCCAGAGTACACAGGTAGGATGGGATCACTGGGATCATGGGATCATCTGTGTCACCAGCCAGGAATGCCTGAGTCAGAGCCTTTCACAACCCAGGATCAGTTACAAACTTTTCCCCCAGTTCTTCCCTGTGCCTCCTGGACAGCGGCTCTGGCCTGCTCAGTTGGCTGGTAGCTCATTTTCTTGGAAGAGCTGTGGTTGGGAACAACCTTTGTCCTCCCCTGGAATAAAGTGTTGCATTCCAACAAATCAAAGTCACTTCTCCGTTTCCACACCTTAGTGGGACAATAATTCTATTTAAATTCTGTTTTAGAGGCAGTGGAACTTAACCATGTCTTGCTCTGGCTCCTGGACAGAACAAGACTGGACACCTCCACCCTGGAGTGTTCGTGTTGGGTGCCCAGAGCCCATCCCTACTGTGCTTCCACACAGGTGGAAGGTTTTACCTGGCCACTGCTCAAGGCAATTCTATGTTTAAAAAATCCTTCAAATCCCTTCAAGCCTGTTGATTTCTGTGATTCCCAGAGGAGCTGTGGATTCCCTGTCTCTGGAAGTGCTTGAGGCCAGTCTGGACAGGGCTTGGAGCCACCTGATGTAGTGCAGGGTGTCCCTGTTCCTGGTAGGGGGTGGAACGAGATGGGATTGAAGGTCCCTTCCAGCCCGTGTCTCCCATGGTTTGTTACTCTTTGTGGAGCGTGGCTGTCCCAGCACAGCAATCCCTGGATCCCATGTCCAAGGTCACTGCCCAGGGAATAGACTTCAGATCTCCCAGAAGGAGTTAATGGTGGATTTGGATTTGTAGCTGGATAAGGCAGATGGTTGCAAGCAGCTTAATATGGACTTAAAGGCTCTCGTGAGCCGGTGGGCAAAGCCAGGGATCTTCTCCTTTCCAGGCTCCAACACGTATGAGGAGGCAGCCGCCTACATCCAGTGCCAGTTTGAGGATCTGAACCGGAGGAAGGACACCAAGGAGATCTACACCCACTTCACCTGCGCCACCGACACCAAGAACGTCCAGTTCGTCTTCGACGCCGTCACCGACGTCATCATCAAAAACAACCTCAAGGAATGTGGGCTCTACTGAGAGGTAAATCCAGCTCCGGGTGTCCTGCTGGGAGCAGCTCTCTCTGCTCCCTTCTACATTCCTGGTTTCCTTCCCAGTGTTTCTGCCTGGTGAGCCCCAGCCTCTTGCTGCCTCGTGGGGACAGCGATGAGCGTGACCCAGGAGCAGAGAACATGTGGAATCCTGGAATTCTTTAGCACAATCTTCTGTCTTAGGGACCTTTTATTGCTGTGGGATGTGGAATTAGGGCACAGTGAAGCCACGTAGTGGGAGTAGATCCTCCTGGCATCGTTGGACGGCGTGATCTCCGGGATGTGCGGTGGATTCCAGCTGGATTCCAGACCCTGGATATGTAGCTTTCTCTCTTCCTTTGGTTAACAAGCCACCACTAGTCTGTTTTTAAGGTTATTTTTTTTTTTCCATTGAGAAAACTATAACTTTACTAAACTTTATTTCTTTATTTGCAAACCTTGTTTTAAAAATAATAATAATTAAAAAAAGCAACAAAAAAAAAATCACTTAACTATGCACATGTGAGCAGATCCTGCAGAAAATATTCCTCTTAGCAGGAATTCCTTGTTTTTAACACTTGCTATGGCCAGGATTTAATATTTCTGCAGCTACTAAGGGATCCTTAGAGCTTCGGCTTTTTTTCCATGTGTGATTTGTTACCATCCTGCTCCCCCCAGGCTTTGGGAAAGGCTCCTGCAGCAGAAGGAGGGTTTAGGTTCTGTTGGGGGTTTGAGCCCAGTTTTATGCCAGTATGGGAAGGGATTTGTGCTCAGCATAATCCTACCTCGGTGGGGAGAGGAGCTGAGCCCTCGCTGGGGGGAAAACTGCTGCTTCCCAGCTCCCAAACCACTGATTCCTGTGCATTTTTTGGGATGAAAACGGTGGATTATTCTGTGCTGCCTTTCCCATGGCCCTCCCTGCCCAGCCCTGTCCTGAGCATGCCTTTACTTTGTCTGTGTGGTGCCAAATCCCTGTTTCCCTCTAGTGCCATCCCTAACCAGTCCTACATTCCTTTGCTGATACATGATTGCATCCAGACTCCTCCCAGTTTGTCATGTGTACAGTTGGATCTGTTAGACTTGTTGGCAGTATTAAAATGGTGAGTAAAGACTGTAGCTTTTTCTCTACTTTATTCTTCCTTTTTCCAGGAGTGTTCCCAGCTTTTGTGCTTTGCTGGAGAAGGAAAGGAAGAGATTTGATGGGAAATGGGTGGAATTATCTGGACAGGGAGGTTCCTTGTGCTTTATCACCCACCACTGTTGGTGTTGTGTTGCTCCCAAAGACTTGAGTCGTGCTGGCACAATTGGAACAGGCCAGGAATCCCATTGCCCATGGGGATATTGGCAGATGGATAATTACTGCTTATTTATAGCCCAAATCTCACTGCCTGCTGTGACCCCCATGGGAATTCTGCTCTGGGCACTTCTGCGGGATGGAGGTGAGAACACTTGCTTGGAAATCCAGGATAAATTCCTCAGGGAGGCTTGTGCGTGCTGGCAGGGGGAGCCCTGAGGGAGATTCCCTGCTCTGGAATCTTTTCCAAGCGGTCTGGAGCTGTGTCTGCTTGACAATTCCCTTCCAGCCATCCTACATGGGATAACTCATCCTTCAAACTCATCCAGGAGCTTCATCTCATCCAAGGGTGCTGGCCAGGAAGTTTTTTTGGGATGGTGAACCCCATCCCACCCCCCAGGAGGCCAGCAGTGGCCATGGGGTGATCCAGGTGTGATCCAGAGATCCATATACCCCCAGAATGGATGCGAAGCAGCTGAAATATCCCTTGATCCGAGCTCTGGGACACAGGAATGGAGCAAAGTGGAATGGGGAGAAAGGAAGAACATCCACATCATGCGTATTCCTTTATTGTGTTTTCCTACAGTTAAATGAAGCTGGACAGGAGATCTCTGCAGGAAACAGGGAGAGGATGGATACAGGGCTCATCTATGGATTATTTACAAACAGACAGAGCAAATGCAGCTCTAAGTAGCAGAATGAAAATCTTTCAAGTAACCATTTCCTCTTTATCCAGCCCATTCCTGGGCTGGAGTTGGGATTCCCTTCCCCAGCCCCTGCTGCCTGAGAAATTCCCTCCATTTAGGGCCCAAAACAACCCCACAGACCCCTGATTTGTCCTGCCCAAGGGCTGAGGTTGGTTCCCAGGAAGGGCTGAGGTTGGTTCCCAGGAGCGTCTCGGAGGTGACGCAGCCTCCACCTTCCTCAGAAATTCCATCCTGGATTAATCCAGCTTTGATCCAAGGGCAGGAATGGGCTGCAGAGGGACAGGCAATGTCTATCCTACCTCCCAAATTCCCTCAATATTCCTATTCCTGGCTGTGCTCTCTGCTGTCAAGCCTCCTGTAAAACGCTGAGAACAGGGGTTCTTCCTTGGAAAAAAAAAGAGGAAATGGCCATGAAAGGGAGCAGGAAGTTGAGCTTCAGCCCCTTCCTAGTTTGGGTTTGGAAGGAGACGGATTTGGGCAGGTCATAGAAAAAGTGGGAGCGAGTGACGTGTGGTGGGGGTTGGTTCTTCCTTTGGCTCTGCTCAGCAGAACGGTGAGACGGGAATGTTTTCTTCTTCTGGGAGGGAGGGAGAAAGAACAGGGAGTTAAACACACCCAGAGAAGGGCTTGGAGGAGCAATTTTATGGAAACAAGGGAAAAACTCAGGTGGGATTTCAGGGACATGTGTCACCTCATCCCTTTGCCTTCCTCCATGGTGATGAGAATGGAGCATCCCCCCTCACCTCCACCCCCCGTTTTTCCAAGTGTCACCTTCAGGTGCCTCCTGCCTGCAGGGAACCTGCTTGAGGGTTTTTTTGGTTGTTTTTGTTTCTTTTTTTAGCTTTTTCCTGCTTTTTTGTTAATATTCAACGATAAGGGAAACACCAGAGGGTCCCTGAAAAACAAAGTGCCAGAGCTAGTGGCTGGGAGCTGCTTGGAAAGGAGGGAAAGAGGATGGAATTCCTGCTGCTGCTCAGAATTAGTGCAAGAATTAGCATGACAAACCCTAATTGGGGTGATAAACCCTAATTAAAGTTTTAGGATGAGCTAAATGGCTGGGAGCAGCAGAGTGTGCATTGGGATATTCCCATCTGCTGAGGCTGGGCAGGTAGAATTGCAACAGGAGAGAAATAAAATTATTTCCTTTAGCTCAGGTGGAGGATTTGGGAATCTGTTTTTATCACTCCATGTGCAAGGGTGGGAATTGTCTGTTGGAGCCCACCCCACTGTGGGATGGGACTGAATCCGTCACGATGTGACCACGTCCCTGGGCTGATGGGACCCCAGACTCCCCCTCCCCACTGTACCCAGTCCATCCTCCCCTCCCCTCCTCATAGGATTTCCAGGACTTGATGCCAAAACCAGAGGGATCTACATCCCACTACCCCAGAAAATGGGATGGAGCCAGCTCTGATCATCCGTATTCCCCTCCCAGCCCTTCTTTGGGGGATGGATCCAGCTCTCTTCATCATCTTCATCCCCCAGCTCTATTTTTTGGGATGGCACCAACTCTGCTCATCCTTACCTCCAGCCCCTTCCTTAGCCTTTTTTGGGGGATGGGGGGGATGGAGCTGCTTTTCTTCATCCCCTTCTTCCTTCCTGAGGATTTTTTTTGGGGGATTGAGCTGGTTCTGATCATCATTATCCCCTGTCCCAGCCCTTTCTTTTGGGGATGGAGCTGGTTCTGATCATCCCCCTCCTTTTCCTTCTTCCCCAGCCCTTTTTTGGGGATGGAGCCAACTCTGCTCTTTTTTTCTCCCCTTCTCGAGCCTTTTCTGGAATGGAGCCAACTCTGATCAGCCTTACCCCTTCCCCACCCCTTTTTCTGGGATGGAACTGGCTCTTCCTCACCTCTCTCTCCTTCCCCAGTCTTTTCTGGGATGGAGCCAACTCTGATCATTTTCATCCCAGTCCCCTTCCCCAACTCTTTTTTTCAGAGGGATCCAGCTCTGATCATCTTCATCCTCCTCCTCCCCTTTCCCAGCCCTTTTTGGAATGGAGCTGGCTCTGCTCATCCTCATTCCCCTTGCCTTCCCCAGCCCTTTTTCTAGGATGGAGTCAGCTCTGCTCTTCCTCATCCCCTTCCCCAGCCCTTTTTGGGATGGAGCCAGCTCTGACCGCCCTCCTCCCCTCTCCTGTCCCTATTTTCTGGCTCCAGCCTCTCTCCCATACCTGCTGGTGCTCAGAAGAGGCCGCAGTCCTTGAGGTTCTCTTTGATGATCACGTCTGTGACAGCGTCAAAGACGAACTTGACGTTCTGCGTGTCTGTGGCACAGGTCATGTGGCTGTAGATCTCCTTCACGTCCTTCCGCATGTTGAGATCCAGGAATTGGGTCTTGATGTAATTCCCTGCATCCTCAAATGTGTTTGGACCTGTGGAGGGAGGGATTGATGCCAAGCTGCTCCCATGGGGGTGGGCATCCAAGGAAAAGGGTGGAGTGCTGACCATGTGTAGCACAAAACTCCTTTTTACCCCATTTCTGATCTTCCTGAGGCCACATCCATCCTCTCCTCAGCTCCAACCTCTCAGGATTTGACTTACCAACCCACAGAGCAGAATGGAGCTGCTCATCCTCATCCCCTTCACAGCCATATTTTGGGATAGAGCCAGTTCTCCTCATCCTCATCTCCCCTTCCCCAGCCCTCTGACAACGTATCCCAAATCCGAGTTGCCACATCTTTGCTGGGACCACACAACTCCTCAGCCCCTGCTTTGGGGGGGGTCTCGAGGAGGAGGGGTAAGGCCAGGAAGGGTCCAAACTCACCATCATACTCTGGGAAGCAGATGCTGAGATGGACTTTCTTAATCTTTTCCTCAAAAAGGTCCTTCTTGTTGAGGAAGAGGATGATGGACGTGGCGGCAAAGAACTTGTGGTTGCATATACTGTTGAATAGGTGCAGGGATTCGTGCATCCGGTTCTGCAGGGAAGCAGATTGTCAGGGATTGACACCCCCTTTGGGCCACCCTCAACCCCCATTCCCAAGAAAGGAACTTTTCCCTGTTTGCCACAGCAGCAGCTGGTCCTGCTGCCTGCCCAGTCCCTCCTCCCCACCCAGAAATCACAGATAAATCCAGGTGATGCTCAGGGTAGGGAGTGGTTCCAGTCCCTCCTGGGATTGTCAGAAATGGACTGTGGTGATTTTACTGGGAAATTTGCCCATGGAGACCTCGCAGCCTGCGAGGAAGGTGCTCAGTGAGCACCATTCCAGTCATCAGGTGGATGCTCGTGTTGGATCGTGGCTTCTGGCTGTTACCCACAGCTTCAGGAAGGAGCCAGGAAAAGGAAAACTCCAGTTTTAGAGCAGATGTTGAATTCTTAGTTTGCTGCTGGGTCATCCTGAGGGGATGAGGATCCATCTAGGCAGAGCCAAGTCCAATGCGGGGGTTTTCTTGATGTAAGGATGATGCTCCATCTTTGTGGGCAGCATGTGGGTTCTCCAGGGATGGTTTTCCCTCATCCAGCTTCCTATCACAGAAGCTTTTCTGTATGCAGAGCACTGGCTCTGCCCAATCCTGCACTGGGTGAGCATTCCAGCCTCTCCCAAGGGCTCCCATGGGAAGGATGCTCTCCTGCACGTGGCTGAGAAAGGGCTGTGAGCTCCTGCCCGGCCATGGCAGGGCCCAGGGATGGCAGATCCTGATCCTGATCCAGCTTCAGCAGAAGGTATTTGGATGCCAAGGAGCAGTCATGGAACCTGGAGGAGATGCCAGGGGAAGAAGCGGCTCCTGCTCTTGTCTTCATCCATTATCTCATTTCTTTAAAGAAAAACCCATTATGGAGCTTCCGTGTTCCTCCTCTCTGGATCTGTGCCCTCCAAGCTGCTTTCCCAGGGCTCTGCTGGTGCATCCCTCACTGGACACACTTTGGATCACGTCCTTGTGCCCCCACACTGGGAGGGTGGGAGCTGTCCCTCCTTAGCCCCTCTGCTCACCTCAGAGGGCACAGTGAGGCAGGAGGTGCCTCAGGACCAGATTTTCCTTCATCCCAGCAGGTTCCTGGCTCTTCCTGCCCTTCCCTTTGGCTTTGCTCCAGTTGTCTGGCTGTGTGGCCATTCTCTGATGGCTCTGAGGATCTGCACAGGAGCACTTGGGGGTTTCCTCATAGGCAACACCCATGGATTCATGACCCAGAGGAAGTGCAAACACCTTTACCAGGTGCAACTTGCTGGGAACCAGCTCCATCCCGCATCTCCCACACCTTTCCCGGACCTCCCAGAGCATCTGACAGTGCAGAGTGTTGTTCCTCCCTCTTCAGAGCCCCCTTGGAGCTCCCCATTCCTCTCCCCCTTGGCTCCCAGTGTCTCCAGGACCCCAACCCACCACTTCATCGTCCTCCACCAGCACCATGTCGTAGGCGCTCAGGGCCCCGCAGAAGATGATGCAGGTCACCCCCTCAAAGCAGTGGATCCACTTCTTCCTCTCTGAGCGCTGCCCTCCCACGTCGAACATCCTGGGGAGGGGACAAGGATGAGGGACACGCACACCTGGTCCTGACACCCCCCCATGTGATGGTTCCAGTGCCACATCCTCGGGGGGGACAGGAGTCACTGTCCATGGGAGAGCACTGGTGGTCCCTTGAGTGTCAGGATCATCCCAAAATCCCTCCCCACCGTCAGAACTGGGGGGAATCGTGGAGGCGTGGTCATGGAGGTGGGGGAGGCTCCCACGTACCTGAAATTCAGGTCTTTGACAGAGAACTTGGTCTCGATGATCCCTGTGGTCTTCACTCGAGATCGCAACACATCCTGCTCGTTGGGGAGGTAGTTGGGGGCTGTGATCCTGTCCAGCTGGTTCAGGTAACTGGGGAGACAGGAAGGGATGTGACCTGCTGCTGAGAGGCTGCCCGTGTCTCCCCCTTTCCCTGGATTTCTGGGGATGGTTGTGGGGCTGAGCTCTGCCAAACACTGAGACTTCAGGGCAGTGACATCCCTGGGGGAGCCGAGGAACATCAAGGGTGGGGTCAGCGGCACTTCTGGGATGGGGATGGCACTGGTGGGATGGATGATGGCAGCAGTGGGATGGAGGACGGCACTTCTGGTATGCAGAATGGCACCAGCTGGATGGAGGACGTAGGACAGCACTGATGGAATGGAGGACAGCAGCAGTGGGATGGGGGATAGCACTGGTGGGATTGGGGAAATGTACTGGTGGCATTAGGAAATGGTACTGGTGGGATGGGTGATGACACCAGTGGGATAGAGGATGACACTGGTGGGATGGAGCATGGCAGGCTCAGGGTATTCCCAGGAGCAGGGAGGGGATGGATTGTGCTAGGCTGGGTTGGAACTGGCTGTGAGGGGGTCCCCAGGCCAGTCCCTGTTGTGCCCGCCATGTCCCCACTCACTACGCGGCTGAGTCGTTGAGCTGATACTCGGCAGCGCGGTCAAAACACGCCTGAACCCCTCCATCCTTCCACAGCTTCTTGATGCAGGCGACCAGCTCGGGGGGCATCGTGCCCTCCTCGATGGAGTCAGCCAGGTTGAAGAGCAGCCGGCCTTCATCCTGTGAGAGAGACCTTCATCACCAACCTTCCCACGGCCCCTGTTCCCCCAAAGTGCCCTCAGGACTGGGGGTACAACATGGGGCTGCTGTGGACCCTGGTTCCAGGGGTTGCCCTGGCCCCACCTCATGGGGTTTGGGGGGACAGGGACACCACCCTGACTGACCGCGCAGGAGGACTCGGCGTAGTCGATGCCCAGTGTGGACATGGCGCGGATGATGGCCAGGATGGACTGGAGGATGTTCCCGTAGATGATGGACTTGAATTCCATGCACTCCTCCTCCGTGTAACCGTCCTGGTGGATGATCCTGGCAGGCACAGTGGCCTCAGCCCCAAGCCAGGACGTCCCCTCTGGGGTGGGAATCACCACCCCACACTGGGCACCACCAGGTGACGGGGGGGGGTGACTGGGGGTCCAGCCATCCCATGTCTGAGAGCTTGTGGCTCATCCTGGTGGCCTCCCCCTCCCCAGTCTGGCTGAGGCCATACTCACTTCATCTGCTTCACGATGGTGCTCTTCCCTGACTCTCCAGCCCCTGGAAAAGGGTGGGAGGGACACCTTAGTGGCCACCAGGGCCTGATGCCACAGCGATGGGCACCCCATGGGGACCAAAGCCACTGTCCCCACCCTGGACACCCAGCCTGGCCTCTTCCCACCGCTGCCATCATCCCCACATTCCTGTCACCCTTTGCACCCTGTGTGGGACCACAGCTCGGGGACCCCCAGGGTGGTGGGAACCCCCTGGGTGCAGGTCCCCCAGGTCCCACACCTCCCGCCCACTGTGGGCAGTGCCCGGCGATGCCTTTGGGGCCGTAAGCGGCTTAGGGCAGCACAGGAAGCTGCTTAGAATTAGGGTGTTAATCGCCTTGAACCCAGCCCCCCCCACCTGGATAAGGCACCACTGCTGGCCCCTGCCCCATGGAGTCACCCCCCTGCCCCACAGGGTCACCCCCTTGCCCCGTGGGGTGCAGAGGGACCCCCAAGGAACCATCTCCCCCTGCCTGGCACCCACCAGCAGCTTTTGGGGTGTTGGTGGTAGGAGCTCCCCAGGCTCTCGCTGAGCCCCCTGAGATGTGGAACATCGTCAGTGGGACCCAGTGTCTTCATCCCATCCCCTGTCCCCCCACTGTCCCCTTCGTGCCTGCCATCCCCAAGAGCCAATGCCACCTCCAGCCCTTCCCAGGGATAACCTGGGGATGTCCTGGTGGCGGGACAACCTCTCCAGGCTGATGAGAGCTTGTCCAGGGGGTACCAGGGACAGGGCAGGAGGAGCCCAGGGGGTCATGAGTTCCCTGTCCCCATCCCCACGTCCCCTGAGGGTCAACGGAGTAGAAACACGGGGACATCTCCAGGGGACATCCCCTTCAGCCTTACCAAGCAGCAGCAACTTGACTGTCTTGGCCTCCTTATCCGCATCCTCCTGGAGCTTCTTCTCCAGCTCCTTGGACCTCTTGGCCATTTCCTTGTCCTCAGCACTGGCCCCGCTCCCCATGGCTTCGTTCTCCTCCTCCAATAACTCCACAAGCTCCTCTAGGTCCCCAGGCTTTTCCAGCTCTTCAAGGAGATAACACGCACACCTCGGGGACGAGGTGGGCACTGGAGGGTGAACCAGAAATTCCAAAAGACGTGAGCCAGGTACCCCACACCCTGACCCTGGGATGCCCCAAGCTGGCAGCACACTTTGGTGGGTCCTTGCTGCTGGCTGCCCCCCGCTCTCTCCCTTAATTCCCCATGGATAACCTGATTTTTTTTGACCGTGGGATTTGGGGACTTTTTATCTTGCCATGTGACCCAGGAAATCCAATTAGCCCAAGATGGCAAAGATTAGGGCTCAGGGAGGAAAAAAAAAGACGGAGCATCTCAGGGAGGTGGGCAGGGGGCTTTACATAAGGGGGGGCATCAGCGTGACACCCCCTGCCCATGGGGACCAGTCCCCTGAGGTGACTTAGGAAGTGGGGATCTTCTTGGGGCTCCCTCCTGTCTTTGGGCTGTGACTCCACTTTTGGGGGGCACTGAGGATGGGATCAGGCCCTGGTTTTGTGTGTGTCCTCCACCCCTGGGTGCTCCAGAGTCCCTGCAGGGGACTGGGTGGTGACAGGGGGACAGGGGGGTGGTGGCGGGGGGCGGTGGCACTGGGGGATTCCTCCTGCAGGGAAAAGGGAGCTAATTACGCCCGGGGGTGGGTAACGAGGCCCCCTAATCCTGCCCCACTGGGTGCCGCCCTCCCGCTGCCTAAGCTCTTTAATGGGATCGTGGCTCAGCCTTCCTCCTCCTCCTCCTCCTCCTCTTCCCGGGCTCAGCACCCCCCATCCCAGCCCATCCCCCAGCCCAGCAGGCCTCCCCAAACCCCGGGGGACGGGTGGCTGCCTCCCCCTTCTCCTCCGAGGCTGCTTTCAGGTGGGCACCGCAGGGGGAACCCCCCGCCCCGGGGCGGGCTTTGGGACCCCCAAAAGTCCTGCAGGTCCCCGATGTTTGGGTTTGAGGTGCCCTAAATCCCTGCACTTCACAGGGCCATTGGGGGCTCCATGTCCCCGCACCGGTGTCCCCACGTCCCACCGGGCGCATATTCCCTGCCAACGCCGTTGCTTGGGGACACTCTGTTCCCGCTGTCCCCGCGGACACAAAGCCCTTTCGGAGCCTCTAATGAACTCGGCGCTAATGAGGGGGGTTCAATTAAAATACCAGACACCACCACCCCCCCTCCCCGCGGTGTACGGACAGTGCTGGGCAGGGGACATGACTCAGGCTGGGGGTCCTCAGTGTCCCCCGTGGCTCTTGTGCCCTCCCAGCCTGCCACAGTGGTGGCCCTGGTGGGTGGTGTCACCTCGCTGTCCCGTCACCCCCTCGACGAGGGGTGGGGGGCACAGAGGAGGGGGTGGGTGACATTCCCTCCGCTCTAACAGCGGCTAAAAATACCCCCCCGCGCCGGTGGCAGCTTAGGGGACACTCGGGGCGCTCGGAGGGGACACAGCCCGACAGCCACCCACAGCCACCCAGGCACCGGCAGCCCCGGCCCAGGTAGGGACACGCGGACACCGAGGCAAAGGTGACACCCCCGGGACCCCCGCAGCCGGGCTCTGCTTCTGGGGTGGCCCCCAGTTAGGCTGGGGGGTGAACTGGGGGACTTGGGGGGGCACGGGCTCCATGGGGACATTCCTAGGAGGGCTCACCCCGCCCCCCAGCAGGGTCCGAGCTGGTGACAGGGAGTTCTTCTTTTGGGGTGCGGTACCATACCTGGGGGGATCATCATCGTGGAGGAGGTGATGCCCCGTTTTGGGGGGTATTGGCTGGTTTCGGAGGTACTCGGTGCCTTTGGGGGTACAGTGTTTAACGAGGGGGGGATGACGGTCTGTGTTGGGGTGCAGCGCCAGCCCTGGAGCGGGGGCACACGGATTCCCACTGGGATGGGGCCAGTCTCTGGATGGGGAAGAACGACACCCTGTCTTTTTGGAGAGCAATGCCTGTTCGGGGGTGGGCAGTGTCCATACTGGGGGGGGCATAATGACCACCTCGGGGGGGGGGGGGGGTTACCCTGTTTTGGAAGTGTCGCTGTCACTTTGGGGGGGTCCGAT